CAAATCCAAACTTTGGTCACTTGCTAGCTAGGTGACTTTGGATAACCTTGGGCAAGGTATCTCCCCAAGCCTCAGTTTCCTCCTGTGTAAACTAGAGATTATAATGTACCTATCTTTTAAAATATGGAGAAAACTAAATGGTTCCAAGAAATATAGAGAATGTCACAAAGAGCAAGCTCTCAACAAACAGCAACAATTAACTATGAAGAATGATCTGAGTCACCTGAGTAATTTAGCTGACTGGGGTGACAGGTTACTACCTACCATTACCCTCAAGCTGAGCATGTAGAGAAAAATCCCCTGTGCCAAGAACCCAGTGTCCCAGCATTAGCAAGACTTCCTCTTGAAACTGGTCAATATTTCAAAATGACCCCTGTTGGCTATTCAAGATGCTAACTCTAAGGGACTGTTAGGAGCACAAGAAGACACATTCTTACAACATTAAAAAGACATTTTTTTGTGTGTGTGTGAATGTATGTGTACATATACGTGTGTGTGTGTGTGTGTGTGTGTGTGTATTTTTTTTTTTCTTTTAGATCTGTAACAAGTCTCCATTGGAAAAAAAGATACCTATAATACTTTCTAGGATTAAAATCCTATATTTTAGTAATATAGAGTTTTTTAAATTATTGGCCTGCTTTAACTAGTCTCATTACTTAGAGACTTGTTATTTAGTTGTAAATTATTGCAGACAAATTCCTTATGGTTTAAAGACACTTGTCCCAATTACTTTGCTACTTATAATTTCTTTCTAGATGTGGCCTCAGTCATAATGACTTGATGACTCGAGTTCAACGACAAAGGTATTTTTCCTGGTGTATATGGGTTCTAAATTATAGGAGGATAACATTCTATCAATCTGTATATTCGGCTTAGAGATGTTCCACTGACTAGCCATTTCTGATTAGAGTTTCCTTAGCCAATGACTGACTGTGCTGAAATATTAGATAGCCAGATTTGACCAGATGGGTTTAAAAAAAAAAAAAGCGGGGCTGGGGATGTGGCTCAAGCGGTAGCGTGCTCGCCTGGCATGCGTGCGGCCCGGGTTCGATCCTCAGCATCACATACAAACAAAGATATTGTGTCCGCCGAAAACTAAAAAATAAATATTAAAACTCTCTCTTTCTCTTTCTCTTAAAAAAAAAAATCCCTTTGGTCAAAGGATGAGGGCTCTGGGATGGCTGGAAAAGTTAGCATAGGGATAAGGCTTGCTTCTCAGGTAAGAGAGACATTCAGGCCCTGCATAAAAAGCTGGCAGGAGGGAGGTCACTTGAATCTAAGGTCCTTCTCCCCCTTCAAACACTCAGCACCTGCTATAGCAATGCACTCTAAAGGGAAAAGCCATGCAAGAGGCTCGTACTGAGCGTTTTGCAAAGGAGCACGTGTTTGGTATCTGGCAGCATTTTTCACTGTGGGAAGATAAAAAGCACCTGGAGTGTGGATTCCCAGTCAACACAGATTTTCCAAATCAGAACAGCCAGGGGAAGAGTTTGAAGTCTGAGTATCTTTTTTTTCTTTATAGTAAGATATACATAAAGAGCTTTTAAATCATGAATTTAGTTACTGTCCTTCTCCTAGTTTTCTGGTTGTTACAGTAGAGGACCAATACCAGAGCCTCCTTGTCTGCCTTTTAATGTGGATGTCAGCTCTCTGGAGCCTGTATTTTTAACTTGAACCTTAAATGTATTTATTAGGAAGAGCCACAGGTTTAAAGGAAAAGGATAATTAGGAAATCAACTGTAATATCAGATAAGAGCCCTGGTGGATAGACTCATCCACCTAGTCAACTGCATTTATTGGGCACATGAAGGATATTCTGTGATCTCTGGATATGAGAGCAGACAAAACACACATAAAAATGAGGTGTCTGCATTCTGGGAAGAAGTCACTTTGTTAATTTTCTTATGGAATAAGAGAGTTTGAAATAGACTGCTTAAAGATGTGTTGAGCCCAAATATTCATGGTTTAAATATACAAGATTCAAATAAACATGATTACAAGAAAGAAAATTAATCTGATTCTGGAAGAAAAACTCAAGCAAATGTTCAGTTAACCAGAGGAGAAAAGAAGGTCCCTTTTATCAGGAAGGGAGCACAGAGACCAGCAGAGAGGGACCGCCTTTGCAAGGTGACCTCCCTCGTGCCAAGGGGCTTATGGACCGTGGAGACCCTAAGCCAGGACTTTACCAATTCCTGGAGAAAAACCCAACTCAAAGCACCTCAAGCAGAAAAGAAAATGTTCCGTGACTCACATGGCGGGATGACCGTGGGGAAGTAGCTGCAGTGATGTCAGCCGGGACCTTCTGCTTCTACTTCTTTACTCTCTTGACACGGAGGCTCCAGAAGCCCAAACACTGTCATCAGAGTTCAGTCCTCTCCATCAGGGTAGGAGAATCATGGGAGCAGCAAACGCTGATCTGATCCTCCCAACAAAGCCACCCCAGCAGCAAGTCCATTTTAAGTGGGTGGGGAGAGAGGTTGGAGCACGCTGGCTGGCCCACGTGGGCCCAATGACTACGGGCAGGATGATGGGTGTCCTGATTGGCTGCACCTGGAGGGCAGCTCCATTTCTTTCTCGGGGAAAAGAAGGGCGGACATGGGTTTTTCCTCATCAAAAATGAGTGTGGAGTATCACTGCCAAAGCAGGGGATGCTAGTAAACAGGGCTTTAATTAGACATAAGTGTGATGTTGGCTTCCAGGGGCACCCAATGGGGGCGCCATTCACCCCATGGCCCTGGGTGCACAGGGTGCTGAGGCCACAAGCTAAATCTGCAGGCTGCCTCGCCCCTATGTCTGTGAGGCTGGGTGGACAGGGGTTTGGAAAGGCATGTAGGGCAGGAGGCACCTGCTGGTTGTTAGTAATCCAGTAAGTCCCTGACTGAGCAACACTGTTTGGTGATTCCTCTGGAACACAGCCCTGGCCTGGACCCTGGGCTTGAAAAATGTCCTCCCTAGGTAAACTGGTGCTGGAATAAATTTCAAATTTATTAAAATTTTCAAAAATTTCTACTTTTTAATTGAAATATAATCATCATAATTTCATTGTTCTAATTGCTGGGCAGTGGTTAATTGTATTGTATGACATACGGTTCTTTGGTCTTACTGTAACTGCTACTGTTCACAGTGCAGTGCCTTTTGCCCCTGTGACCAGCACTGAGGGAATCTGACTAGATTTCCTGACAGGCCCTCCAGACCCCTCTCCCTCTGCGCAGGTTTTGGTGAGCCCGTCCAAGCCGAGGGCCGGGGAAGGCAGCTGGAAGCCCTAGAATGGATGGAATTCCTTAATTGCACATCTCCTGAGCTAAGAAGGAAGCAGGGTAGGTCCTGTAAAGCCATCAGCTTCCATCTGAGATGCTCACGTTCCTCCCTTCCCTGAACTCACTGTCCCTCAGTAGTCCCAACCTCAGCTACGGACTCGACCTCCTTTAGGCTTGACTTAGTTAACACAGTCCTAGTGTGGGTTGGCTAGAGAAAACAAGTTACCTCTGTGCCAGAAGAGTAACTGCCCTTAGAGGAAGGAAGCAAGCTCGGAGTGAGGCAGGCAGGCTCCACATTGGCCTCCTGATGTCATGGCCTCATGCAGTTCCCTCTCAAACCCATCAGGCCTGCGTAAGGCATGGCATTGTGGAAATGACAGTGCAGGGCTGAGTTTGTGGCTATGGAATCTTTTAAGACCTCAGAAAGGCCTGAGGGGGCTCCTGAGAGGACCACTCAGACAGCGAGCTTGATAAGGCTTTTCAGAAGCGAAAGTTGTTAGTAATCCAGTAAGTCTCTGACTGAGCATGTCCCTCAGTAGTCCCAACAGAAGCTCAAAGAGGTCTGTGGGTGAAGCTTTTGTGAGTTGGGGTGAACTGCGATAGGACTCGTGGGAAACAGAAAATGCTCCGAGTAATTATATTTGCAGTGACACTGCCAGCTTGGACTGGAAGAGACCCAGCACAAAACCTTGCAGCGTCTTCAGACCTCTGAAATCCCAGGGGCAGAAAGCAGGCTGAGGAAGCCAGGTAGCGGGCAAGGTGGGCCACCTTTCCTGGAAACAGGAGGAGGGCCTGGCGGGGCCAAGAGCCCAGCCTCCTTGGGGACCCTGGCAGTCCCCACCTTGTGGTATTCATACCTTTGTGTACGTCCCTCCCACACAGCATGGGATTGATCCATGTGACCAATACACTGTGGAGTGAGGATGTGTGATGTCTGAGGCCAGGCATGAAAGTGTGGCTTCCACCTCGCCCTCTTGGATCGCCTTTGGAGGGGAGACCAGATACTGTCTCATTAGGATGGGAAGGGGGGCCTCCTGCCAACAGTCACAGGGACAGACCATCCTGGAGTGGGTCCCCTAGCTTCAGTAAAACTGTCAGGCAACCTCACGAGATGACCCTCGTGGCAGACCCTAAGGAAGCGCTACCAGCCAAGTGGCACCAAATTCCTGTCCACAGAAACTGAAGGGCATGGTAACTTGTTATGTAATAATAGATAACTGAAGGGGAGAGCTGTGTTTTGAAACACAAATAAACTATGCTTCAAGGAGGGAGTAGACAATGATGTCAGTGCTGTAGAATGCCCAGGCGGGTCGCAGGCTAGGTGTTAGGGTTTTGATATGAGGTGTCCCCCAGAAGCTCATGTGTGAGACAATGCAAGAAAGTTTAGAGGTGAAATGATTGAGTTATGGGAGTTTTAATCCAATCACTGTGTTAATCTCCTGACAGGGATTAACCAGGTGGTGACTGTAGGGTGGTAGGGTGTGGCTGGAGGAGATGGGTCACTGAGGGTGAGCCTTTGGTGAGTGGACAACTCTCTCTGCTTTCTGATTGCCATGTCCTGAGCTGCTGTCCTCTGTCATGCCCTTCGCCACATGTTCTGCCTCCTCTTGGGCCCAGGGCAATGAAGTTGGCTGTCTGTGAACTGAGACCTCTGAAACCATGAACCTTGATGAACTTTTCCTCCTCTAATTGTTCTTGTCAGGTCTCTTGGTCACAGCAATAAAATAAGCTAAAACACCAGGCTGACAACAGGCCAGAACTTTATAAACACTGAGCATGAACTTTACAAACACCGATCATGAATTTCACTTATGTAATTAATGAGGGGAAAACTCCCCAAACCAACCAATGAGGGCCTCACTCTCCTCCGAGTGCTTGGTCTGAGAAAACTGAGACGCACCTCTGACTCTTTTGAAGGGTGTCACGGAAAGCATGTTTTGAAAGTTGGTGCTGCCTCTCAAAGACAATGGAATGCTCTCCTGGGCTTGCCTGTGAATCAGCACCCCGTCCTGTGGAGGTGCTGTTCACTCGAGCCTGTGACTGTGCAGAGGGCAGAGAAACCTGCCCCAGGGCGCCCTGAGCCTTAGACATGCTGTGGTGTTCACTGAAGTTTCTCAAGACTAAAGCAAGCACTTCCTTGTGATATAAGACTCAAGCAACATGATCCTGGAAACAATGATGACCACCACCTCACATCTATGCTGCAATTTATTAACAGTACTTTCACCACATGTTATTTTAGGCTCATAGCAAACCCTGTGAGGTGTGGGGGGTTGGTTTATAAAAGGGCAATGCGTGGTCTCATCTCCAAGTTCTAAATGGCTCAGATACTTGGTTAAGGCCATACAACATTCCCAGTGCAGGTCTTCTGACACTAAGTCCAAGGCTTCCTCCAAATCCTTTGGGCAGCATTCCCCAAAGGCTGTTCATCTGTTTGTATTCTTATCCACTCCCAGAGGAAGTCTAGTATAACTGTCCACAGTGATGGAAACTCCCGGGCTTTAGTACTGTCCCTCCTGGGGGCGAGAGCCTGGCACAGGGAGACTCTGTCCGCTTCCTACTCTGGTTCCTAGGCAACCATATAACTTGAACATCTTCCGTGGTAGTCCCCATGGGTGGACAGAGAAGGCTGACATTGTTCCTCCTTGAACATGGCCTTCAGAGAGCCAAAGTTCTCCCCAGTGAGAAAGCCATTGGTTGAATCATGCTACACTAAGCCATGCTACATTTTAGAATTAAAGATAGCATCATCAGCTTGATCATCTTCCTTAATCATCAGATTTTGAGCTGTTTGCTAAACTTCAGTCTATCCTGGGAAGCCAGAACTGTATAAACACTGAGCATATACTGCTGCAGGCTCTGAATGCACACCCACAGACATTCCAGAAAGTTCACTAACAATAGCCCTCTAGAGATGACATTCTGAGAAAGAAAACTCTCATAAGGAATGTTCAGTATCAACTCTATAAAAATAATGGCTTATGTGTGTGTTTTGTATCTTTGTTTAATTTAATCCTTAAAAGAATCCAGTGAGGCAGGATAGAAGTCTGCTAGTCTAAACACCCACATGACCACGTGGGCACAAAGGGGCAGTGCCCTGACTCGGCTGTGCTGGCTGCTGCCTCCCTGTAGCAGTGGCCATCCTAAGGGGAAGTCTGTTAAGATTCTGGCCTATTTTGGTATTTTTCACTTTTTTCAAGTCCGTGAGTGTTTTGCATTCCCACATCAGTCAGAATTTTAGTCTATTTCAGGTAACTGCAGAAAGTATGAAACAGAAGGAAGTGCATGTTTGGCCTTTGATGTACTCCAGTATAACATTCCCAGCCATGCCGCCTCTCTCTGCGGCTCCAGGCCTTGCACTGCACCCATCTAGGATGCAGGGACACCAGAAGCCACACTCCTAGCTCACCTCTGCCTCTTCTCTTCTCTCAGCAGCATCAGTGTGAGGAGGATGGAAATATTTAGTCCAAGACCCTGTTCTCAAATCATAATCTGAAGCGCCCAAACCTGGCCAAAGAGAACACTGTACATCCCAAAACCAGTTCCCGAACCCATCCCACCACGTGTGAGCCGCTCTGTGTTTCCGGCTCTCCCTTCACGCTGACAGAGTCAGAGAGGGCAGCCAGGTGAGCATGGACATAACCAAGAGGAAGGCCAGCAGACCACCCCAAATAAGACACTTGGAGTCTCTGCTTCCAGGACTTTTGCCATGACCCCGGGCCTTAAACCACTCCACCACTTCCTGTAGGTCAAAGGGCTGGGGCTCATAACCCAGCTCTTGCCTGGCTTTCTCTAAGCTAAAGTAATGAGTGACACCAGTTTTATACACTTCAGTGCGGGTGAGGAAGGGCTGGAAGTTGTACAATCGACCCAAGATGAAGTGGATCAGCTCTGTCAGGAAAGCAAAGCAGTAGATGAGGGTCAATGGCAGGCGGGTAGAGGGGAAGGTGTAGCCCAGACCCTCAACCAGGGGTCGGAAGAACTCGAAGTTGTTCACAGGTTGGCCATCTGAGATGAAGTAGGACTGCCCAGAGGCAATGTGGCCCTTGTCAGCCTTCAGTGCCTCTGAGGCCAGAATGTGGGCCTGCACCAAGTTATCCACGTGGACGAACTCCACTAGGCTCCTGGGGTCCCCGTACACAAACCTGAAGAGGCCCCTCTCAATGTAACTCACTATCCTGGGAAGGTGCCTTTGCTCTCCAGGCCCATAAATGCCGGCTGGCCTCAAAGCACAGGTTCTTAGGACACCATCGACTCTTTCCAGGATGGAACCGTTTGCCTCCAGCACCTTCTTCTCTGCAATAGATTTGGTTCGAGAGTAGTGATCAGGGTGCAGGTGAAGAGGCAGGTATGGCAGAGACTCGTCCCCATTTCTGATGACTTGACCTCCGAAGACAACATTGAAGGTGCTGGTGTAAACGAATCTGGGCACCCCTCTCCTCTGGCAGGCAAGGAGGAGGTTGTCGGTTCCACCCACGTTGACTTCTTCGATCAGGGTTTGGTTTAGCTGTTCGCGCCCTGACATACCGTAAGAAGCAACATGGAACACACACACCACATCCACGCCCTGGAAGGCTTTCTCCACCTCAGAGAGGTGGCGGATGTCTCCACATATGAACCTGATTCCTTCTGGAATGTCTTGAGCAGGCCTATGGATGTCAAACAGAATCACATGGACTCCCTTCTGGTTCAGAGCACAGCCGAGGCTGAAATGAGAAGAATTAAGAGTTAGATCAAGTCCTCCTTGTGCTGTATCAGTCAAGGTGGCCGATCCAAGTCTTCTTGACTCATCCTGAGTGCCTCACTTTCACACGTTCTTTGTTATTTCTTATTTATTTAAAATTTAAAAAGTGAGAATCCTCTCATCTACTCAAATTACAATGACACAGCTGTGAAAGAATAGCTATTTCTTAAATTGTTTTTGGTGATGTCATGCTCCTCCATTTACTGGCTTTATAAAGAATTTTTCCTGAAACGGGACATGCCTGTGGTTCTCAATTTCAACGTCCAGCAATAGGCAATTGGTTCATTTCTGGTTTAACACACGTGAATGGCCAAAAGTCTACACAGTGTTAATGTCAGAATCGAAAGCCACACTGTTTTCAACAAGTACCAGTAAGGTAATTCAACACACATATTTTGTACATGAACTGACCGAAAGCCAAAATAGCCACTCCCTCCTGTAATGAGGACAGTTTCCTCTGGAGATCTCCGGGAGTCCATATGTGGCAGTCAAAAGGTAACTGGACCTAAAAGAATAAGTATGAAAATTATTATGACCCAAATGCAAATACGGTTCACCCTAGAGTTAAAAGAACAAAAAGGGGCTGGGCCTGTACTCCGTGGTAGAGTGCCTGCCTAGTATGCTCAAGGCTCTGGGTTTGATCCTCAGCACTGAAACAAATAAACAAAACCAGAAAACCTAACAGGCAGTATAATCTAGTAGCATGAGACTCTCAAATCTGGGTGCTAGTCACAGGTTTGTGACAATAGCCACCCCCTCTCTCCACATTTTGGCTTCAAATTTCTTTACATAGAACATGGGACAGTAACATCTGCCCGCCTACCTGACAAGGCCAATATGAAGGAGAAAGAGGATAACACACTGGGGGTGCTTTGAGGTCCACAAAGCACTTTTCAAATGAAAGGCATGATGTTAATTCTTGGGAAAGGTTAGAGTCTTTTTGAAAAGAATTCATTCAAATTTGGAAGGAAGAAGCACTTCTCCCCCATGCACCAGAAAATCAAAAGATAGAACTCTAAAGAAAGCTTCCAGACATCTTTTGTTTAAAATGGCATACTGCTGCAAGGTTTGCTTAATACGGCTTTAGTCCTACATTTATTTAAAAAAATGAGGAAAAAACCTCCTTTATGTAGCAAAGTACATTCCCACTCAGAAATCCTGAAAGTGCTTCAGTGCTCAATGCCTTTGGGGTCCTGCTTTTCTTTCCCCCTCATCTATGTCCCCTGCAAAATCCTCTCAAGACTCTAAGACTCCCTTTTGGCAAAAACAAAAAAGGGGCTACCCAGCTCCTTCCACATAGGGAGGGAACAGAACCGGAGGCACATAGTCCTCAAAGGCTCTGGGAATAAACGCTGAACACACGTGCACACTCCAAAGTCAGAGGCATGGCAAGCAACCAAGGGCCCAATCCCTGCCCAGTCCCAGTGGGGGTGTCCATAACTGCAGCCACTGCACCTGTAAGTGTCCTTGAACAAGGAACTTAAATAAATTTCTCAAGCTGACCTGGAGTCATAACCACTAGAAGGCTCGCCCCAGAAGTCCATGACCTAACCCGGAAAACATGGACTTTGAATGAGGACATATCCAGTTGTGTGGCCTTGGACCAGTTAGTGAACTCTGAGCCTGCTGCTTTATCCAGATGTACAGCTGAGGATAAGCTTCCAGGGTTACGAGATCTGAATGAGGTGAGGACAAAATGCCCCCTCAAAACACCTGGCAAGTCTGACTCAGCATGAGTGTTCTACAGGGGCCATTTCTCAGATTTCCTTTTCTTCAAGCTCTAAATTTTGGGGATTTGACATCTATGACATTCCCATACACCATGATCAGATCTCTCAAATGCACAGAGTTATGAAGTTTCACAAGTTCTTCTGGAGACCTGTCAGAGTATCTCAGATTGCCCATGAGGCTAATCAGATCATTCATGCAGCATCAGTTGGTGTGACACTGAAGACAGGGTTCACTGAGTGGCAGTTTCAGTAGCTTGAGGGTATGCAGAAAAAGAGAGAAGAAATATTAGGGAAACTGAGCAAAATGGTGTGGAGGATGGTGTTTGGGCCACAAATTTCCACTCGCATTTGCCACAGTTGTAAGAAAGTTCATAGATTAACGCCCCAGCCCACCACTGGTATACCCAACAGTCCACTGCCCGCCTTTCTGCCTGCCCTAGCCCACCACTGTTATACCCAACAGTCCACTGCCTGCCTGTCTGCCTGCCTCAGCCCACCTCTGGTATGTTCAACAGTCCACTGCCCACCCGATTCCTTGCTGCTGCAGCCCTGGGCCTCACATGCCAGGGAACCCCTCTGCCTCTGAGCCATACTGTTTCCCATTTCTGAGTGCAGAATGCTCCAATTTGGATTCTGAGTACCAATAAAACCAAATGTAGTCAATTCTGCTATTAACAGAGTCACATGACTTCATTACACATGCTATTTACAAACACAGTAGGTGTCAATTACTGAGATTTCAATCCAGACTTCCGACTTTCACCTCCATGATCTGGGCCCAGCTGCCCTTCCTCCACCGAGGTACTCTGTGCTCCAACCCCATGGACTCTCTTTCCTCTCCTTAAGGATGCCAAGCTCAGTAGTGCTTCCTGTTCTCACCTTAGTGTGACACACAGCTCTTCCAGGTCCTTGCCTGGCTGCAGCTTTCTTGATACTAAGGTCTGCTCAAGTGTCACTTCCTCAAAGAGGCTCCTGGTCATGCCATCTAACAGAGGTCCCCCTTGCTGTAAATGCTGCTATTTCCTTCATGGCACGTTTCACTATAGAGAAATATACTGCTCTCCTTCCCATGGAATGTAAGTTCCATGAGAACAGAGGCCTGTCTTTTGCTGAGAGCCACGGCCGAGTCTGTATGGCCCCTGGCATTTTGCCAACAGTATTGATTGACAGGCGAGGCATTACTATCCGCCTCTGCCTCAACTTTTGAGTTCTCGCACTATTTTGGAGTTCTCGTGGGGATTTCCAGGGATTCCCCGAGAGTTCCCATTGGTTGGGGAAGTGCAGGAGGAGGGATTTTCCGGGAGAGATATTTCCGGCTGGGGGTTTCTGGACAAGCCTCGTGGCGTTCGGGAGGATTCCCCGGGAGCTGTGTGAAGTGTTTTCCTGCAGTTTAAAAAAATAAAGTTTGTTCCTGCTTCAGTGGCTCGTGATTTGTGCCCAGCCAGACTGCGGCAGTCTTTTCCACTGGGATGTCCCTCCCAGAGCCTAGAAGATGCTCAACAAATATTTTCTGAATTTATGGATGATTCTGAACACCATAAATTACATCCAGTTGAGTAAAACTATACAAATTATGAGCACAAATTACGCAAGGCCCTGCAGTGTCCAACAGTCATTGTTAAGTATATCATTTAATGTTGCCGTTTTCATTTAACCTCCTAAAAAGTACAGTTATGAAATGAAAAAGACACAAGGCTCAATAAAATAGGGGTCCTGAAATTAAAGGAGAGAGGCTTTTGTAAACATCTGAAAGACAAGGTGTTAGGGTTAGGATGAGCCACAGGGAAGGCTGTGTTGGGCAACCAGTAGATGGGTACAAACTGAAGCCAGCACCAAGCTGTACTCCAGGGTGGAAGAACAGCCTTGGGTCAACCCTAGAGACAGCTCTGCGTCCCCTTTTGGGGATCTGAACCCTATTCTGTAGGTTGAGGGCAGGGAACAGTAGGATCACCTTGGTCCTCCACTGAGGAATGAGCCTTTCCTTCAGGAGGGAGAGGCTGGAAACAGGCTGGTGAAGACCTAACTTGGAGTGTTCACAGTGAGGACTAACCATGGGTGAAAGGTGACAGGTGGCAAGGCATTGAATGACACTGTGACAGGCAGAGGCTGGGAGAAGCCAGAGGAAGGTGACAGGGTTAAATGGAACATAGGGTTTTGGGAAAGCTGTATCTGGCTAACAGGATGTCAAATAAGTTACAGATATTATTAATGTCTCTACACGAATTCCACCATAAGGGATCCAGAAATGGATAAGGCTTCTAAGAATCCAGTTTTTAAAATTCCAACAAAAATACTTCTAATCACTTGTTGTTTTTAAAATTACTCATTCCAGCCCAGCTACAGACCACAGGTCAATCATGGCTTATGTGTATGTTAAGCAAGTCAAGAATGTGCAATTACAGATTATTAATGGTTCAGAAATTTGCCAGGTCTATTGATGCTTCTCCTCATTACCTTCCAACTAGTTCCAGAATGATCTGAAGCAAGAACTTGCATAACTGACCTGATTAGGAGGGTCAGAAGAGAAAGGTGAGACAAGTGCAGGAATTTAGCAAGACAGACAGCAGGAAAAGCAGCTTATCCTCTAGATCAGTGACACTTTCTCGGGTTACCAGCCCTCATGGAACCATAGGGAGCCACCTCCTCCTTCCTGGTTCTCACATCCACAAGCAAAAACAATCTCAGCAAACATGTTTTTCAGATCCCCTAAAGTCTCATGAATGACAAGCCAGAGGGGAGAAAAAGAGTGTCCATAGTTTTTATTCAGCCAGTTTTATTAATTAGTTTTCATCTGATTCTTTCTAGGGCCATGCACTCAGACCTGCCTTTTAATGGCAACTGCTTGAAGGCTCTTCCAAAATGTGGCTTTGTTCAGTAATTGCTTTCCTGTTGGGGTGGGGGAGGGTCACTTTTGACCTCAGCTGTCATTTTAGCAGAAACAGGTTAAAGTTAAGCACATGATCAAGAAAAAGGAATCTTAATTACAAACAAGGAAAAAATGAAATTTAAAATTTGCCTGCCTGACCTTTTGATAATGCCAAGGCAAAGTGAGGGTAATAAAGTTGACATCTCACAGGGAAGTTAGGAGAAGAAACTAATAAAAGATGACCGTGAGTACTTTAGATTTACAAAGACCTAATTAAATGCTAAGGATCAGTAGTAAGAACCTTGGATTATGTGCACGGTTCTTCGGTCCTGATGCATCTCTGTGCATTCAGAGCACAATGCTTGGTGGAACAGCGCTTGCCTAGCACATGTGGGGCACTGGGATTGATCCTCAGTACCACATAATAAATGAATAAAATAAATGTATTGTGTTCATCTACGACTAAAAAAAAAAAATTTAAAAAAAAGCACAATGCTCTCACTCCTAGCTCAGAGCCATGTAGAAACCAAGGCACCATTAGCCCTTCAGCAGTAGGATGGATCAGAGGGAAGTTGACCAGTTCATAAAAACAAAAAGTATTATACTCACTGTAACGAAGATAAAAACACCTCCAGGTGGTGTGACCCTGTGATTAGGTGTCTTAAATTTTTGCACAGACCTGTGTTCATGTGTGTTGAGACCTGGAAAACATGTTGAAGCTACAGGGTTTATGAGATGGAGCTGTTCAGACTCCATGCAGGAGGTGAAATTCATCTATTTGTGTTTAATGTGCAATTACAGATTATTAATGCTTCAGAAATTTGCCAGATCTATTGATGCTTCTCTTCATTACCTTCCAACTAGTTCCAGAATGATCTGAAGCAAGAACTTATATAACTGACCTGATTAGGAGGGTCAGAAGAGAAAGGTGAGGAAAGTGCAGGAATTTAGCAAGACGGACAGCAGGAAAACCTTGGATTATGTTCTTCGGTCCTGGTGCATCTCTGTGCATTCAGGAACACAATGCTTGGGGCATTGCCACCAAAGCAACGAAGACACAGTAGATTAAGGATAGAAACCAGATACAGATGAAAGGGAATGGGAAGTATAACACCTAAAAGGCCAAACATATTTGGGAGGCAATTTAACTGACAGCACAGCATTAAGAGAAAAATTGGTGTACTCATGACATGTGGTATTTGTGCACACCACTCTGAATGTAAGTGAGGGTGGCCGGGCAGCTCTCTTTAATTCATTGTCATCACCTTATACCTATATCAAATCTTCTTGTACAGCTAGCTATGTGAACCTCTTTACTCAGATAACTGTTGCACAAAAGGTTCTTGCCATTCTTCACAAAGCTGATGAGAAAAGGAGGTACATAATTTTATAACCGATGTTTCCCAAACTTCCATTCAAGCTCCATGTGAGCACAGAAGCACTTTTGCAGGGGTATCTGTGGGGACAGGGAATATATGGCAGACTGTAGACCCAGTAATGTAAATGGGATGAACCAGCAGGCTTTCCACATGTCCCCATCTGCCACATCTGCAAGGGAGAGCAAGTACAGAGAAGTCCTCCCCCAAGGTCAGTGTGTCCGCCACTTTAACACATCTAAGTAGTATAGCCTGCCATTCACTTAGGCACTTACTGTGCTAGGCCTGTGCTACACTCTTGTCCACAAATGATTTCACTTGATGCCCATAACAACCCTCTAAGATGAGTACTAATTTGTGGATCCCATTTTACAGATGAGAAATTGGAGGCTCAGAGATACAGAGTGACCTCAAGTCCCACCCTAGTAAATGGTAGAACAGGGCTCCACATACCATTGGAACCCAGGTGCATCTGACTGCCTGGTTCATGTCACAACCAAAGCAACAGCTGGGGCTGGGCAGAGCCCTGACCTGAAGCTTTGGGGACAGAGTCCCTGCTGACCTGAGTCCATATGTGTTTTCACAGTGAGGGCATTCTACAACACCTCAGGAGCCCTGCAATTCCTGGAGGGGAAAGAAAGAGCTTCCCATCTCCTCCCATGAGGCAGAGACTAGTGATGCAGGGTTGAGATTCCTAGGTTGGAAATCAGGAAATCTTGGTTCTTCCACCAGCTCCCGGTGTGACCCCGGGCAACTCATTATACCTCTTTGATTAAAAACAACAGCAACCATGGCTACATTTTTAATTCATGGTGGGCTAGGTGCTTTAGAGGGCCACAATTTATGCTTGAGGGCAATCTGGAGATAGTTCTAGTATTAGCACCAGCTTTTCAGAGACAAACTTCATTCAGAGATAACCTTCAGCTCATCGGTGGAGGATCTTGCCCACAAATCACACAGGTCCTAAGAGGTGAGGATCCAGGGCTTGCAGCAGGGTCTGGCCGAGGAGCAAGGCCTCACATTAGGGTTGGGAGGAGGCCCTGCTCACCTGGGGCATCATCTGACCTCTATAAGGCCTGCCCTACCTGCCCGGTACTATGACTCGCCTGCTAGGTTTTACTTGACTCCAACACTTTTTTTTTTTTTTTTTTACAGTAAGTAACTCAGGTTAAACGGGAACCTCACACTGCCTCCTTAGATGGGGACTCCGATCATCTGGCAGAGAGAAGGCAAGGCTTCCCCCAAAGTGCGATGAAACGGGAGGACGGGGCAGAGTCGGGCTAGGCAAGGTAGGGAGCCCTGGGCGTGGTCGCCGCGGAGGCCCAGGAGACACTGTGAAGCCGAGCCAGCCGCTTCTGGAATCAGAACCAGAGGAGGGCCGCGCCCCTCGCCCCCGGGGCTCTGCCCACCCGGCCCAGGCCGGATCCCCGAGGGCCGCCCTCCCGACCCTGGCCCACTCACGGCGGCGGGGGACAGCTGCGCGGCGAGAACTGCGCGAGGATAGACGGTCCGCGCCTCCCGCTCTGCCCGCAGCCCACGCCGGGCGCCGGAGCCGTCGGACCGGCCTCCAGAAGCCACTTCCGGGCCTCTCTAGGAAGCCTGGAGGTGTCGGCCTCTCTATGATGCGCAGGTGTCTTGTCCACCTTCACCTAGGCTGGGGCTGCAGGTTCAGGCCATGATCTCCACGACCTTCCCAGCCCGTACGTTCCCGTGTCGCACGAGTCCTTTGAGGGTCACCTCTACTCCTTTTCCCACCTGCAATTTCTGTCTTTTAACTTCCCTCTGTCTTTGTGTATCCCCAGTGCTGAGTACAGGGCTGATAGAAGGCGCTCAGCTCAGTAGTATTGCTCTGGGGGAGGTGGATGGGCAGTGGATGGCTGGTTGATGGCTGGATGGATAGATGGGTGGAGGATGGATGAGTGAGGGATGAGCTCCACTGATGACTGAATAGTTACTTTCCATGTGTCCTTTAAAGTCTGTTATCTCAGTGTCCACATCTCTGTGTGTTCTTACATTTTCCCATGTCCCTGGTTTCCCTGTTTTTCCAGCTCCACTTGTTCTGGTCATTGAACAGGCGATGATGCCAAGACTTTGTTGCTGAAGGGACCCAGGACTTAAAAGCCACGAGGAAAGGAAGGCGGACATTCTCACGCAAAGTTCTCCCCCATCAGGAGTGGGGAACTATGGAAAGCGGCTCAGTGGACGCTCCTCCTGCCCTCCCCACACATGGACCCCTGGCTGGGAGGATATCATTTTGGTGGGTTCAGAGGTTGGAGGTGTTGACTCCCTGGGCTGCTTTTGCACTGTTCCCACATTTAGACACAAAGAGGCTCATATGAATTATGCCATTTATTGCTCAGTTTTCACTAAGAACACAAATGAAGTCACAAGGGCAAAGAAGCCCTGGGAAATCAAAATTAATGAGGGCCAGGTGAAGAAAATGGAGAGAGACATTGACCCTTCTGATAAGACCTTGACTTTCCTGCCTGTCTGGTCCTCAGCTTGATCCAGTTGTAAGTTTTGAGCGACTGAGTTAAGATGGTTCCCGGGTGGTTTGAAGGGATGGCTTTGCTGTGGCTTATATAGAAAGATTAGAAGAGAAGAGGAAGGTTATTAGGGGGTGGGAAACCAGCTAGATGCTCTGGGGACCAGCAGACAAAGAAGAAAATGAGGATGCAGCACAGAGGATAGATTCCCCGGGATCCTCCAAGGGGGCTAGTGATTTAGTGTGTGTTGATAAACATGAGAAATGGTGAAGTTAAGTGTTAATAGTCTGTGACACCCAGGACTCTTTCCAAATATAAACACTTATTTTTGAAGGAAAATTATAAACTGTATAATTGCTTTCTTAGTTTCAGCTGCAATTTAGTGAGTTGATTTTGTAAAAGTGTAATATCTAGGCTAGAAATGACTAGATAAAGAACTTGACTTCAGTGTGAACTTATGTCATTGCTTATCTAATTTTGTTTCCCCCCTTTAAAAATTTCAGACAATGGGTGCATTTCAGAAAAAAAACCCCACACAACTATGCTGTCAGACTTCCTTATAGGGATACAACATTTTGTTTGTAACAAAGTACATTCACACTTACTATTTCATCAAATTCTCTCAGATAGTGATGCTGAGGATCTAAGATTTCAAGTAGTAGAGAGTAACTCCAGCTAACATAATTTTAAAAAGTGCAATTTGTAGAGTCTCAGAAAGGGTGGAACAACTGTATTTACTTTTTGGTAAGCATGGTTAGCTTCTGTAACAGGAAGCCCTGCAATCTCAGTAGTTTTGTGCAGTAAGTGTGACTCTGACTCTCACTGCAGTTTAACTGGGTCTGCAGGGAAGAACTGAGGGCTGTGCTCCATACAGTCACTCAAGGACCCAGGCCTCCTTCGCCTGCTGTACCGTCATCATCTTCAACACGTCGACTCCAGGCTTGCCTCGCGGGGGCATGTACGAGTTTGGATTTGAAAACTCTGATTGAAGTTTTGAAATTCTTCAGTCCCTTTGTAGCACCTAGCCCATCTGAAATTATCTTGCACATTGCGAGAGTGAAAGCTCCCAGAGAGCAGAGACTGCTTTATTGATGGGGCATCTCCACTGCCTACAAGAGTGTCTGGACAGAGACATTTTTTTTTTTCAAATTGCTGAATAAATGAGCAGGTAAATAAATGTCATGTCTCTGGTTGTTCCTGTTCAAAACTTCATGTCTGCAGGTGAGGCCTTCTTTTGGCCCAGCTTGGGTCAGAATCATCTCTACTATAGTCAGCTACAACACGGGGGTGTACAAACAACTATTAGTGCCTTTCCACTATAAACTGAGGTGATTTCTCAAGAAAGGTAATCGTCATGTGCTTGGCAGACACCCCAAAGGCTTGTTACTTAAGAGTGTGCCCCAGTAACATCACCATCCCTTGGAAATTTATTAGAAATGTTGGGTCTTGAATCTGACCAACTCTATACATTGCATTTTAGTAGAATTTGCAGGTAATTCCTATGCACAATAAAGTCTGAGAAGCACTGCCTTAGAGGTGCTGTGACCTAGTAGTAGTACTACTGTGGCTCTCTGGAGTGGGTAAGAAGGTCCTTATGATAGTCCCAGATGACCCCTGGAAGCAAGTGAGGTTAAATGACTTGGTCCAGGCCACAGAACTAATTAATGACAGGGTTGGTTATTAATTGGAGCTTCTGGCTCCAAGTTCTTCTACACTCCACACTCTTTCTATTCTGTGCTATCTCCTGGATCTACCTATTTTTACTCAATAACAAGAAATAATTAAAAGGGGAATAAATAGAAAAAAATTCAAGTTACATTTAAATGGTGGTTAATGATTTCAATAATTGATTTGTTTTGGAAAAGGCAACAAGCATTTATTACTTACAGTGCATTTGATGAAATGTTTTCCCACCACATATTAAGGAACTATCCAAGTAATATAATGAATGTTTATATTTCATTTATTTGGCAATTAAGCATCTTAACATTCTTTTATAAGGTTTTATAGCACTTATTAAGAATTATCAAGCATCCTATTTGGGTCAATGGTTTTTCTTTTTTCTTTCAAAAGCTTTTGAAATATCTTTTTGTTAGTATGCATGCCTTTCTCAGTACTGATGAATCTGAGTGTTTCAGTAGTGCTGATTAAAACTGGGAAAGGGCTGGCTGAACAGGGCTCAAGCCTTTGGACCATTCCTAGAGGGGACACAGTGGACTCCCTGATATGCTGAGGATTGTCTGCTGTTTTAGTGATTTTAGGAATTTAGGAACATGGATCCACAACAAGATTAATTTGGTATATTTGAACTGCAAATCAGAAATTCACTCTGATATAGGAAAGTCAAAGGTATGAATAATTGGCTCCAGTAACTGGAAGCTCAAAAGATGGATCTAGTTGCAGGGTCTCAAACTTCATCAGAGCTCTCTGTCTCCACCTCTCAGTTCCAAGCTGCTGCTGTGTGCCTCTCCCTGTGGTAGCCAAAGTCAACAACTTCCTTATTCTCCGAATCCTTCAGAATGTTCCAGTAAAACTCCCGGGGAAGACTGTGATTGGGCAGTCCATGAGCCATGTGACCACCTCTTAACTGATCATTATAGCTGGAGATGATACATTCTGACTGACTGAAACTGAATTTTGATCCACTCTGGGATGGTGTATCAGTTTCCTAATGCAACTGTAACAAGTTACTTCAAACTGGGTGGCTTAAAACCACACACATTTATTCTCTTATAGTTCTGGAGGCCAGAAATTAGAAATCACTTTCACTAGGCTAATGTCAAGGTTTGGGTCTGATGTTGGACACAGGAAGAAGGAACCTAGATCCCTGAATGACCTTATGAAGTGGAGCTGTTTCACTAGGCTCACAAATCTAGATTACCTGTACTCTTATTTATGGCCTTATATATTTTTAATTGAAATTTTGAGATACTTGTAGATCCTCATGCCATTTTAAGAAACAATGCAGAGAACTCCTACATACATACACTTCACTCACTTTCCCCTAATGATAATAGTTTGAAAAAATACCATGACCAAGATATTGACATTGGTACAACCTACAGATCTTATTTAGATTTTCTTTTTTACTTGTACCCACTTGTGTGTGTGTGTGTGTGTGTATGCATGTGTGTGTGTTTAGTCTTGATGATTTTATCACGTGTAGGTTTGTGTATTAAGCTACTATATTTTGAGGATTTGGTTTTTTTGTTCTGTAGTTTAACCTTTATGTAAATGCAACATAGTAAAACATATGCCAAGAGAGAATGCTTTCTAGTATCATGTATAATTAATTAAAACAAATAAAAAAATAACAAAAGAAGAATGATGTGTCCAAAGGCAAAGATCCTGAAATGTATTGTGTGCACTGGTCTGCAAATCTTGTCTTTACTGAAGATAGTCAGCATGTATTGGACACCTGCTGTGTACCAAGTATCTTGTTAAGTGCTGGGAGAATGCAGCAAGAGGTTAGATAGTCCCAGGAACAATGGCTGCAGTGGTTGTGACTCATCCAGCGCAGGTTCCACCACCTGCTCCTGATGCTCTGCAGCCACCTGAATATAAAATATACTCATTCCATAATGTCTGCATTCCCCAGGAAACATGCACTCCTGCCCTGCATCTTCTGAACCTTCTTAGACAACGAAGCACAAAGCACAAACGTCTCTCTTATAGGAGGGACATTTCCCTCAGGAAGGAGCGAGTATCTCAGGAGTCCCTGCGAGAAGTCCTGGTGTGATTGGATTGCAAGAGATTACCACTGTGTCTTAGTTTGAGTCTCCCTGGAGACAGACCTTGAGAGAATTCAAGTGCAAGTAGCTTATTTGGGAGGTGATCCTAGGAAATACCAGGAGGAGCAGGGAAGTGAGACAGGGAGGGGAAGGCAGCCAGCATTAGTAAGGAAAAGAGCATTGTCCTCCCCACCTCCCACCCCCCAGGGAAGCTCTAGAGTGCAGTGTGACCCCTTTCTGGGGAGTTGTCCTACCTGCGGGATGAGGCTGCTCTCTCCATTCA